AAAAATAATGTAATAAATGATATTATAATTACATTATTACTTTTTCTTTGTAAAAATTATATCCATGCCCTTTTTCTTAATAGTTTTAACAAAAGGTCACATTTTGTAAATAAATAAGTATCACCCCCTAAAGTTGTTATTTGCAAATCAGCCATCCTCTTTCGCCCATTTTTCAAGTTCTCACTCAAATATCAAAATTCATGGTAAAGCTCACTCATACTTTTTTTGTTATTTTTTATCGAATTCTCAGTAGTTTGATTGGTCAAAATTCATGGTAAAGCTCACTCATACTTTTTTTTTTTTTTTTTTTATCGAACTCAGTAGTTTGATTGGGGCACACTGAAACACATCAGTTCGGTTCAAAAAATGAAATGAGTGGTTAATTTCAAAAAATCAAAGTTTCGGATGGTCTATATATTATTATCCCTAACAAATATATATTCTCCATTATTTAAGATTTTGTAGGCTTCTCGATCGTATTTTTATTAGATTAAATTTTCCATGGAAATGCTATGAGTTTAATAAAGAAGATTTATGATATGACAATCCATGCAAACAAAGTACAAACATTATTATTTGATTCGTGTTGAAAGGTCTGCGCGTATCAAAAGGTATGCAATAGTTAGTAATGAATTATCGTCTTAGCATTACATGAAAATTCAGTACACATTCAGATAATTAAAGAGAAGTAACTAGGAAGAGACATCTCGACTTTTTTGTGGAACACCCTGACAGGGGAAGAAAGTCATGGAGCCTAGCTCGGTTGAAACAATCCATTATAAATGATGAGTATAGAAATCCAATCTTCTTCTGAATTAGGGAAGATATAGTTATAAAGTTGATCATTTTAAATGTTACAAGTAGTTCATCGATAATAGTTGTAATCTGACTGTAATTAATGGTGTTCTCGATGATAATAGGCTGCAAGGGTCGTAGGCAATCACTATAGAGGTGGTAGTCCGCCGTGAATTTTGTGGATGGTGGTTGTAGCGTCAGCTTGTTGTAGAGGTGTAATTGAAAGTCATTGTATTAGTTGGTCGTGTGAACCGCAGATGATTGCAGCAGGTGTGTCGGTTGGCTACAGAGACTGTGGTAGGAAGTTTTAGGAGTTGTGAGCCACGTAGACTATAGACCATAGTTGGTCACATACGCCATAGTGGTGAGCTATGATGTGTTCGTAAGTTGTAGAGGCCAAAGTATGGAGCTACATGAGCTTTAGACAACGTAGATCGTAGTGGTGAGATGTGACGACGTCTATAGGTCGCAGAGGTCGAAGTCGGGAGTTGGACAAGACGTAAGTTAAATAGGTTGTAGTTGGTCACATAGGTTATAGTGTTGAGTTGTGATGGCGTTCGTAGGCCACAGTGATCAGAGTCGGGAGCTACACGAGTTGTGAGTCACATAGGTCATAATTGGTCACATAGTCTGTAGTGATGATTTTTTATGATTTATGCTGCCTACAGGGGCCGAAGCCTAGAGCTACATGAGTTGTAGAGCATGTAAACTATAGTTGGTCACATATGACATAGTGGTGTGTTGTGATGACGTTCGTATGTCGTAGATGCTGGAGTCGAGAGTTGCACAAGTTGTAAGCCACGTAGGCCGCAGTTGGTCACATGGTCCGTAGTGGTAAGCTATGATGACATCCATAGGTTGTAAGGGTCGAAGTCGACGCTTAAGCCATAGAGGTGAGTCGTGATGACATCTATAGGCCATAGAGGTCAGAGTAGGGATTTTCATGAGTTGTGGACTACATAAGTCGTAGTTGGTCACATAGGTCATATTGGTGATATGCGATGACATCGTTAGGCTGCATGGGTCGAAGTCGAGAGTGGTATGAGTTGTGGACCACATAGATTGCAGTTGGTCACATAGATCATAGAGGTAAGCTTTGATGATGTCCATAGACCATAGAGACTGGAGTCAGGAGTTGCACGAGATATGGACAAAATAAGTCACATTTGGTCACATAGATTGTAGTGGTGAGTTGTGATGACATTCATAGGCTGTATGGGCTGGAGTCAAAAGTTGCATAAATTGTGAGCCACATAGGTCATAGTTGGTGGCAGAGGTCGTGATGGTGAGTTGTGATGATGTTACTATGTTGTAAGGACTGAAGTCGCAAGTTGCATGGAGGGAACATTAAGAGTTCAGATAAGGTCATTATCTTTAGGGTGCATTGTTACATCGTCTTTGGTGTGTGCTTTGTTGCATTTTATATAGGGTGAATTGTCATGCCATCTTTATATTGAGTCGTTACACTATATTATAGTACATGTTTACATCATCTTTGGGAGTGATGTAACGTCGTATGTGGGGTGTGTTGCTAGACTATCATCGGGGTGTGTTGTTACACCTTATTTTGGGTGTGTTTTTACAAAGTTTACTTGATAGCGTTGTTGACCTCACTTTTGTGAGGACCTCTTCTCTCTCTATAGAAACCTAGGTTTAATCTTAGGGTTTCCTAGTGACCTTCTTAAAATACTAGAGATGGAACTCCCTCATATAGAACTTTGAACCAATCCTACATACACTTAGGATTCCCTGAGGTTAAGCACAAACCCTCAACCCTTAGTTGAGATGATTGAGGTTCTAGCCCAGTGGAAGCCCAAGTTGACTTCCTATATGTTGAGGATGCCCTATGTTACCCATGGAGCTTGCTCTGGCAATTCGATGACACCAACATTCGTTCCAAAGGAGAAGGGGTGAGTCACCAAAGTTAGACTTTGATCACACCTAATGATTATTCTCAACACCAATATACCAGGTTTTAAGTCTTTAACTTTCAACATCTCGTTCTGGAAGCAAGTGATGTAGGCTTATAGGCTCTCCTTTTCTCCTTGCTTGAGGTCGAGCAAGGTTTCTAAGTATTTCCTCTGTTTCTGTGCATTTGAGAAGCGTGAAATAAAGAGACTTTTAAATTTTTAATAATTTGGGATGGTTTTTATTGGCATAACATTGGACCACCAAAGGGACGACTCCTTCGAAGTGGTTAAGAAAAGTAGACAAATTATGGGGTCGTCAATCAATAGTAGAATCAATGACTCAAATGATGTTACGTGGTCGATCGAGTCAGTCCTCCCTTTATAAGAATCCAGGTGAGGGATCATTAGCTTGGGCGAGGGTACCGCCTCTTTGATTTGGTGAGTAAAAGCCCATCTTGCGAGCGATTGGACAGGCACTCGCATCAGCCCTTCCTATCATCTATTAGCCTGTGCAGACATCACTGTGTCAGTGTGTTGGCACTCGCCTTATCCCTCTGTTCATTGGTTCCTGACCTGGTTGTCTAGAATAGGCAGGTTCCTCAGTTGGGCCCTTTGGGGATGAGCCCCCTTAGGTTCTGTTTCCAAAAGAGACATCTAGTCATTCCTTTGGATTATTGCTACTGAAGGACCTCAAATTACTCCATCATGAGAGTCATTTGGGCTTGTAGAACATGGGCTTGTGCATGGACGCTCGGTTGGGTATCATCTCTATTAGGTTCCATGTGTGATATCTCTCTTTGGGAGGTTTCTTCTTCGTATCTTTTCCACTTCTTGTCTGTGGCATGATCCACGCTCACTGCACCACCTTTTAGAATGTTAAATCTCATATTGTCCTTTGTGAAGACGCCCCGAGGTTTTAACGTGTCAAAGGAAGGAGAGAGAGGGAGCAGAACAAGTCCAGAATTCCCTGTAGAGAGACCTAGGAGAAATTCTTTATTCGTATTTTTGCCTCCAACTTATAGAGGAGTGTTTTGTACGATTACATAAAAGAGGGAGAAGTCATGGAAACCACTCATAATACAATTGATGTTTGAATCAATCGTAGTAATTAGCTGACCAACTTGCTTGAATTCTGTCGATTGAGAGGACCGGCTGAGGCTTGACTATGCCATGGGTTGGTCGGTCGAGCACCCAGTTGACTGTCAATCTCGGTTGGTGATTGGCTGCAATCAAGGGTTCCTACTTGCGCTTTGGTTGGTCGGGACTACAAGCGTGGTTTGCCATTCGGATCACTCGTCAGAGTGTGTCGGTCGATCTTTGATTACGTGGTTGGTTTTCGGATGGTATGATGCCCCAATCTTCTAGTCATCTTCTGGGTCGTTCGATTACTTCGAGATCCGTGCTAATAGCTTTGGTATATACATGCACAGAATGTTGGCCTTTGAAAGAGAAGCATAAAATCAAAATCAAGTGTTGCCTAGATGAGAATGCTTAGGTGGATGAGTGGATTTACGCGTATAGACAAAATGCGAATTGAATATAATTGTGATAGGGTTGGTGTAGCCCCGGTGGCAAACAAAATTAGAGAGTCGTCTTAGATGGTTTGGTCACATTAAACGTTGACATCTACTATTCCGAATAGGAGAGTTATTGTTTTAGATTCGACTTGGAGGTAGACATAAAATTACTTGGGCATGTTGTATAAAAAATAATATTAATTTATTAGAATTAAATGAAAATAGGACACTCAATAGGACCCAATCTAGAAAAAAGGATAATGTAGTCAACCCCACTTAGCGGGATAAAGATTTGTTGTTGTTAATGTAGGGGCAAATATATTCAAAACAAAATGTAATATTTTGTTTTTTTTAAATAAAATAATAAATATTTAATATTTAAATATCAATTTTATATAAAAGAAAAATTAACTAAATATTTAAATTTATAAATATCATACATCACCATTCTGAACGGCTGGAAATGAAATGAGAAAACGGTTTGACCAAAAACATCCTTCGCACGCGGTCGCCGCTATCTTGCTGCGGGTTCCCACACTCACTTCTCCCTCTCCACCGCCCCACCCCCACCACTTTCCCACGCGGCGCAATCCATACCGCACGATCAAGATCAAACGATCATTACAGCCTTCCTCGGCTCCCGTACAATTGTCCGACGAGCGCCAAGCGAAGAGGACCGCGCACGCGCGAAGCCGTTCACCACTCCCCGCCGTAGTGTTATCTAGCACGTGCGCACCGGTCGCCTTCACACGGAACCGGTTACCGCTGAACGCTGACCCCACCGAAATGCCGTATGAAAGCGCCGACCGGCAGCATCCTTGCGAGACAAGCGCCCGCGGCCGCATTTATTGCACTCCTCCCGGTGGACCCGTACCATCGTCACCGCATATTGCCGGTCGCACACTCCACCTTAAAAACTATAGAAGAAACCTCACTCTCCCTTGCTTCTAAAATTCTCTGCGTCTCTTTTCTGAAGCTAGAACAGCTGAAAAACCCTACAAGACGAGGGCAGAAATCGAAGGCGATTTATGAGAAAGGAGTGATGATGACGGATAAGAGAGAAGATAAGCTGGAGTTTATGGCGGGAGCGATTTCTCCCTTCTCCGTCGACGCGATTGAGCCCGCTTTCCCTCACATCGGTGGGGGTTTCTTCGAACTCGCCGGCCAAATGGACTCCGGCGACTGCGGATCGTTCGGCTTCGTCGACCTTCTTGAACTGCACGATCTCCCCCAATCTCTGCTCGACACCGAGCCATATACTCCTCCGGCCTCCTCAGCTTCTGCCGCCGCTGCGCCGCCGGAGTCATCAGAGACCCAAAACTTCCCAGCGACACCGAACTCATCTTCAATCTCCTCTTCTTCGTCGGAGGCCGACGCCGATCCAACGCTGCCGGCGTGCAATCCTACGGAGGCTGAAGAAGACGCCGCTGAGCTCGAGCAGGCGAAGATGTAAGCATTCGTTCATTAATTGATTCATTTGTGTTGGATCGATTACGAACAAGTCGATTGAGATGGTCTCTTGCATTCTGATAATCAGGGGGTCGGAGTCGAAGGGAAGGAAGAAGAAAGGGCAAAAGCGGAAGAGGGAGCCACGATTCGCTTTTCTGACACAGAGCGAGGTGGATCATCTTGAAGACGGTTATCGCTGGCGCAAGTACGGCCAGAAGGCTGTAAAGAATAGCCCCTTTCCCAGGTTCGTATTTACCAACTCCCTTAACCTGCATGCCGCTAAAGTAGCTTGTAATTTATGCTGAAATTGAAGGGCATGGTGGTCATTTGAATGCAGGAGCTATTACCGCTGCACGAGCGCTCTCTGCGGGGTGAAGAAGAGAGTGGAACGTTCATCCAACGATCCGACGGTGGTGGTGACCACATACGAGGGACAGCACACTCACCCGAGCCCAATAATTTCACGTGGCACTCATCATTTTCCAGCCTCGTCGCCGGAGCTGGTCGATCTCCACCGCTTCCAGCTACAGAGCTCGTACCTTCTTTCATCACAGCCGTTGAATCTCCGTCCCGTGATCACTGGCGCCCCTGCGCCGCTTGCGCCGCCGCAACGGCCGATTTCTGTAGCTGGGTTCGGTGAGCGGAGTTACTGTGATGCGGCTATTGGGATCGGATTACGCGATCACGGGCTTTTACAAGATTTAATCCCATCAGAGGTGATGATGAAAAGGGAGCTTCTACATTGAACTTAGACCTCTCCAGAACCCATGTACCTCTATCATGTATAATTATCAGCTCTTTTTTTTTCTTCTTAATTCCTTCCATTCTTAATTAGCTTAGAAACATATAGTTTATAATTTGTTCTTCAACGTATTTACTCATAAAAATCCCTCTTTTTTTTTTCTTTCTAATTATTAGCATAGTAAATTTTGAATTTTTTTCTATTTTGATCTGCAGTTATTTGGAAATGACTTTTTTTATTATTTCTGTAGGGGAATGCGAGTTAGAAAAATGGGATTTTTGCCTGGTCTAGCTAGGGTTAGGGTTTGAACGTAATGACCAGTTAAAAAGGGCGAGAATAAATTATTACTGTACCAATTTTATGCAGAGCTTAGTGTGTTTGACCCGTACGTACTCGGTATATGTTTATATGTGCCTTAAAAAAAAGACTAAAATATAAGTAAGATGGTCCTTGAAGGCAATAGGAAAAGAGAGAGCTTTAATAGAGATCTTCTATAATAATGAATGCAAGTGTAAGAATTGGAATGAAGTAGCTTTCATCCTTCTTTCTTGTCTTTCTGTTCCTTCTTTCAACTTGGCTTCTTTCACTTTTTTTTAATGTGTTGCTGATTGTTTAGGTGGCTTGGTGAAATCAAGTAGGGATTTTTTCTCATCTCCATTTGCATGCAAGTGTGTAATCTCTTCAGAGTTTTATGCATCATATTAATCTATGTTTACATAATTTATATGTTGATTTGGAGCAAATATTATGTGCGTTCACCGTAGATATAATATATATTTGTTTTGCATGAAAAGATTCATTTTTTTTTAAAGAAAAAACTATTGTGCTCTCTTCCATATTTTTACTGGAGCACAGCCGATTGGATGACACAACCCTTTTGTTAGGGCTTCAAAGATACTTGTAATAGAAAATACTTTTAGATTTTCGAAAATTTCCGGAGATATTTGACTTATAATGCCACTGGAGGTCTGTTTGGAGCCAGCAGCTTTTGTACTATTTCTTTAAATGTGGTTATTCTTCAGTTCAACTATTGTTTACTGCATACTTATCGGATGGATTTATTTTAATAAGTTGTTTTTTCAGAATATAGCAATCATAAAAAGAAATTAGGTGGTACAATTACCTTTTGTTTTTCTAAGCAAAATCATTTTAGTCTATGAGGGCATAGTGAATTGGATGATACAGTCCTATTTTAGGTCTATGATAAACGAGGATGTTAACAACTTCAAAGACATATATATTTCTGATAGAGAGTATTTATAGAAATATGAAAACTAACCTCAAACGTCGCTCAAGGTCCGTTAAAAGGGAGCGATTATTGTGTGTGGAGGATGCACGCAGACCTCCGCACCTAATAATTAGATGTTAAAAGGAGCAACTTTTTATTTTTTTTTTATTTTTTTTAAGAAAGATTTATATACATACCACTTAACGTAATATTTTCTCTTTTAACGGATTCGGTTAGAGAGAAAATTTTAGAGAGAGTTGGCAAGAGGGAGAAAATGAAGAAAGGAGAGAAATACAAAGGAAGAGAAGTTGAAAAAAAAGAGCGATTATTGCTTACGGAGGGCGCGCGCAGCTCTGCGTGCGCCCTCCGCACCTAATAATTAGACGTTAAAAGGAGCACCTTTTTATTTTTTTTTTATTTTTTTTTTAAGAAAGATTTATATACATACCACTTTATTCTAGGGCTTTAACACTTCTAACAAACACTTCTAACACCTAAACTTCGATTTTTACATACATGCCCACCTTGAACACCTTGCCCATGCACTAAAAAGAAATTTTGTGATATAAAAGATTTACGTGATATAAATGTAAAAAATGAAGTCTAGGTTTTTGATATCTAAATACATAAGAATTGGGCTGTATGTATATAAATGCCCCTTTTTTAAAAATTTAAAAAAATGTCTCAACTTTTTTCCTTTGGTTATTGCTCAGCACATACTTGAAATATATATTTATCATAAGCATCAGTTTTTAACGATCATAAAAATACTAGTGCTACACTTTAAAAAAAAGAAGAGAGATATTTTTTTATTAAAAAACAATTTATTTCACAAAAATTCAATAATTACATGTATAAAAACTATAGGCAACCACATAGGGAGGGGTGGGGGGGTATTTATAGCAATACTTGAAAAAGGGAAAAGGGCGTTTGTCCTTGTGGCTGAGATGGCGTGTAGTTGGTGGCAAGGAATGTTGGGAGGGATGAGTAAATGAACTTAACGGATGAGGCTAAGCATGACATTTTCAGACTGCTGCAACTTAAGGAAGTAGAATGGAACAAGAGAGGAATAAGGGAATGGAGCTATGAGTAGCTCCAATTCATTGAAGCTGTTGGACGCATATATAGACCGACCTTTTTCCCTTCCTAAGCCTTGCTCTTCTCCATTTATAAGTACGCCCACGCCCATCCCCCTCGCGTAGCTGTAGCCCTAATCACTTAAGTGTGTAATCATGAGAATCACACACTAGAAATAAACAGAGAGGGAGAGAGGAGATGAAAAAGATTTGTTTTTTATTATCATTATTTGGTGAAAGGTTCTGATATGAAAAGTATGTTGGGTTATTGTGATTTTTTTTTTAAAAAAAATTGTTTTAAATAATTTGATTGTGTAGGGTTCGTGAGGTGAAATCAGTGAGACTGGCTTAGGTTATGATTGTTAAGAGTGAGCGCTGGGGAGGTTTAAGGGTATGTTTAGTGTCCTTTTTGCCTTTTGGAGCTCTTGCTGCGGCTGCGTATGATGAAAGGTAGCTTTTTTTGGGTTGTTTTACGGTGCAATGCTGTAGTTTTAGAATGGATGTGCGTGGCAAGGTATATGATGAATTAGTTAAATTTAGAAAATAAGTTTTTTTTCAATTATGGTATATATATTACATTAGCTTTTTAAATATATATATATATATATATATATATATATATCCTAGATTGTTTTTTTTTTTTTTTTCTGTAAACACTCCTCGAGAGTTAGATTCGTGAGAAGGAGGATGAGAGAGAGTAAAAGTAATTGAGGAAGTACCCGTAGAGAAGAGGAGAGAGATCTATTTATTCATCCTTTTACCTTCTATTTATAGAGGTATATTTATACAATTAAAGAAAAGAGGAGGGAACGGTTATGAAAATCGTCGTTAATACAATTTAATCGCGATTAATTGTTGTCAAATATATATATTACAAATTCAATTCACATATGGTGGTAAATAGCTGGCCGACACGTTTGAGCTCGGTCGACCGCGTTTGCCGAAGTAAAAGGTCGATCGGTCAATATGTTGTTGTCGGGCGCCCTTGTGAAGAATTTAGGCGGTTCGGAACGATAAGCGTGATCTGCCAATTGAATCCCCCGTCATAATATGTCGGATGGCTTCAACTGAACTGTCAGTCCTTGGATGATCGACTTGGATCACTTTCTTATTACCTAATGCTTCGATTTTCTAACCATCGTCCTGAGCCACCCGATTGTTTTAATATTCTCGTCAACAGTTTAAGTGCATACATATAAAAACTTATGTTAAATTAGTTAAATTTAGAGAAAAAAAAATTTATTTCCTCAATATCAGTATATAGTATATATATTGCATTAGTTTTATCAGTATATATATTGCATTAGTTTATATATATATATAGAGAGAGAGAGAGAGAGAGAGATCTTCATAGATATGAGACACAATTCTTATACATTTACATATCTCACATTCCTATATTTATTTAGGGTATAATTTTTCTCTAAAAGTTGTTCCCTATAACACAAGATCTTAACATGTAAGACTTGTACATAAAATCCCATGCAAATGCACTGTTGTTAGGGGTGTAAACGAACCGAACACGAACGAACAAAGCTTGTGTTCGTGTTCGGTTCGTTTAAAATTTAGTTTGTTTGAAATAAGCTCGTGTTCGTTTCTTAACGAACGAGCCGAACAC